CACTTTTTAAAGTTATTGCATGCATAAAAGCATGGGGTTTGAGTTGCTTTTTCACCTGTCAAACTGTTAAATTATATATTATTGCAAGATGTTTGTTTCTCTTGTTGCTGCACTTTTTTAAGTTATTGCATGCATAAAAGCATGGGGTTTGAGTTGCTTTTTCACAGGCCAAATAAGTGCTTTTGTGCCTGCTTTTATACTGTATAAATACATAGTACTTCTGTTATGTGTTTGTATCATTATCTTTTAGTAACTTTGCAGTAATAAAAGCTCTTGTGGGGGATGTGGATGCCCCTGTTCACAGCTGTTGAGCAGGCATAGTGTTCAACCCTCCCGAAAGATAATCCCTCTAGGTTTGGTGGAAGCTTTTCCTTTGGGTTGGGTTTGCCTGTCAGGATGGGGAAGGTGCAGGCTGGTGAGTGCCCGTGGTACAGCCGAGTGTGGAGCCTCTGCAGCTGCATCCGTGGTGCTCTCCTGAGCAGCGGCTGGAGGCTCACCCACATAGACTCTGCCTGGTCTGAGCTTGGCTCGGGTTCATTCCTGGACTGCCAGCACCCTGTGCTTTCCCTTTGGGAGTCACCCTGCCCACACCAGAGCCCGTACTTGGCACGCTCTCTGCGTGCCTGTTGCACCTTCCAGCAGCTGGAGGAACTCACAGATCTTATCTGGACAGCAGTTGGTACTGATTTTTTTTTTTTTTTTCATTTGCCACCCAGGGGAGTGTGTGAAATACAATAACATGCAGTGTATGTGGTAAACTTTCTTTCACATGTAAGAAGTGTGAAATAAGTAGGCCAGCAGTTTTTGGATTTGATTTCGTTGATGAAACATTTTTTGTTAGGCTGAAAAGGTAGATATTTTGGTACTTGCTTCACTGTCAGTATTCTCATTTTTTCCCATGTTTTGCTATGTACTTAATAAAGTTTTCCAATTGACTTCCTTGCATAAAGCAGCAGGATTTGCAGAATTCTTCTGAAAAGCAGAGTTAACCTAACCAAAGTTATTTTCATATGAAGTAGAGTTAATATTATTCATAAGATGGATGCATTAATTTTGGGTGCCTTCTGTTGCTAACATTGTTATTTAAGGATTTTTTTTCTTTAAGGCAGGAACTCGCTGTTTAAAAAAGATAGAGTTAGGGGAAATATTAAAGCTATGTGTGTGCAAAAATACTCTTTTTATCTCATCATAAAAGAGCTTCTTTCTAGCGGCCTTCCTTTGTCGTTGCTTGTGGTTTGATTGTCAGGTTTAAACTACAGAAAATTTACCCCTTCTTGTTGCTGGACAGCTTTTAGTTCTGATAGAACTAGGGTGGGCAGACTGCTTCTTAAGTAGAAAAAAAAGAGTTATTTAAAATCTAAATTCTGAGCTCTGGAATTTCTAGTTTTCCAACAATGTGGTAGGTTTTATAAAAGACCAGAAAATGCGTGAGGTTCTTTTTGTTTGTTTTAATTTTGTAGTAAGTTCAGTTTTCTTATGGGAAGAGCTGGGCTTGCTCTTACGAGCAGCTGTATGACAGGAACTGGATGGGGGTGAGGTGATAAATGTGAGATTTCTAGTTTTCCAACAATGTTATGTGTTTTTATACATAGGTTTTATAAAAGACCAGAAAATGCGTGAGGTTCTTTTTGTTTGTTTTAATTTTGTAGTAAGTTCAGTTTTCTTACGGGAAGAGCTGTCTTACAAGCAGCTGTATGACAGGAACTGGATGGGGGTGAGGTGATAAATGTGAAAGGCTTCAATATCAGACCAGAATTATGAAAGGAAAACTTCTCCATGCAGCTTCTTGCAAAAGTGTTGGACTTTGCAAGCTTGGCTTTCTGAATTTGGCTCATCTGAAATGAACCCTATTGAGTATGTTCTGTGAATGTGCTAATGCAGTGATAGTTATGTTTATACAATGCTTTCAATATTCTGGTCATTGGATAACAAATGCAGCCCAGGCATTTCTGCCTTCTAGATTTAGAATCATTCTGATTTACATTTTCCCTTAGCTTTTGAAATGTATCATCTTTCATTTTGTCTGTGGTGCTCAAATGCCAGAAGCCCTGAGGTCTAAATTATGATAATTAGTAAAAAAGGGAACTTGTCAGGATTCACAGGTCTGCCTCGATGCAAGAACCTTGTAATATTACATTTACTGCTGGAAAAGTATGAACAAATTGCTTTTCATGGATAAAACTCTTAGAAAATAATTTGAAAGAATAAATAAGGCTAGAGGATACTGTGCTCAGGTGGGATTTTCAAAATTACCAGTCTCAAAGTGAACCTCACTGGGTTCTCTAATTAGCTTAGTTCTTTGTGTAATTTTAGAAGTCTCATCTTTGGTGATGATGGTGCTTGAAATTGCAAGTGAGAATCTCTTTATCATTTGCAAGAGATGATGCAAGACTGTTGGTTCAGGAGTGATATGGAAAGGTTGAATGACAGTCTAGTGCTCCCTGCCTCTTTCCAAAGAAACACGAGGGGCACTAATGAAACTAGTAAATTTGAAACAAAAAGATGTTTGGGTTTCTTAGTTTTGTTCCCTCTATGCACACACACAATGTGAACTTTTTACTAACGTGAACATTAAAAACTTTACACACATTTACAGGAAGACAGAAGAAGCTCACAGAAGAAAAGTTTTTCCTGAACTCACAAATATATCTGACCCAGAAAATCCTGAGATATGATTGATGAAGTGGGACAGCACTTGAGAAAGCCTTGTGTGCTTCTCCTACTGTTATCTTGTTCCCCAGGCATCCAGCCTTGTCTGCTGTTGGAGTCAGGATTGTAGATTAGCTGCATGTTTGGGGTCTGATCAGCTATTCTTATCTTTTACCTGGTCTCAAGAGCTCTTTTTCAATTTTTGCATTTCTGTGACTGAGGTTACATCCTTAAGAAACCAAAGCGTGGAGGTTGATTTCATTTAAGGATTCCTTACCTGCCTGAAGTATTTTCTATAGAGTTCTTTTTACACACTTTTAGATGAAAAATATAAAGACATATTTGACTTGGTATTGGTATTTCTTTAAGTGTAAAATAGTTGTATACTGAGGTGAAAAAAAATTGCCTGGCAATTAAAAATTAAAACTTCAATCTGAATACAGAAAGTGTAAAATAGGACACATTTTGATTTTGAAGTAATGATATGTTGAAGTAAGTTTAAGTTGTTTATAGCAAGTTTTTTTCCTTGTCTTTTAAAACTGCTGGTTAATTTACTAGTTATCAATATCTACCTGCCTTTAGATGTAAAACATGCTTGGACTCAATTAAATTTGCTCTGCTTTTATTTTTATAGGAAGTGTGCATTTTCTGCACTCTGTAGATGAAGAAACCACACTACAAAGAACAATTTTTAAAGTTTTGGTTGTAAAACTAAACTCCTAGCTCTCCCTGGGTAGGCATATGAGTAAAAATAATGCACTTTTAGGAAGTACCGGTTGCAACACATTCAGATCCTCATGAGCTCTGACAATGTAAGCCTTTTTTTCTTTGAAATGTCTTGGCATGACTTAGGAATGTAACTTCTTATCTAGATTTTACATTTAAATTTTGTCATAAGACCTTACCAGAGAGACAGAAGAGTTGGTATCAAAGCCAAGAGCAGAGAGAGGGAGTGCATCTGTTGAGGAATGCACCAGTGAAAGCATTGCTCCATCCACAGATCTCCAGGATAATCTTGTTGCAGAACCAGAAAAGGCAGAGAAAACCTCATCCAGTCCTGAATATCTGGTACCCTGTCTTTATATCACCTTGATGTGGGAGGTACAGTTTTACTCCCCCTCTTCTGAATCAGTCAGATCAGGAATTTTTCAAGTAATGGTCTTATTCTCAGCATAACAGACGATGTCTTTTGACTGTATTGGGTTTTTTGTTAAGATATTTGTTGTGGGTTTTTTTTTCACCTGTGAAAAAGTGAAAAGGTTTAATAATAAACAAAGTTTCCTCAGATAGCTTCTGAACATTGAGCTATTAACTGATCAGAAAGCTGTTGCACTGTGTGGCTCTGTGCTGTTTCAAAAAGCAGGAGCTGCTGCCCTGGAGAGTGAGTGCAAAGCAGAGCTACTGTGCTTCTGCAGACTACTTGAGGTAATAGACCAAGGAAAGTTTGGTGTAAAGGGGAAGTACTCATATATGTGGCTTTGTCTGCTTGTTCTGCTTTTAAGTCAGTGATGGGGTTTTTTCTTCCCCTGCAGTTTTTTAATCTCAGAAAGAGTAGGTTCTGTTTATCAGGGTGAGGCTCTGGGGTGCTCACTGCTGTAAGGCAGAGGGGTGTTGCTGAAGAAGTTGTCACTCAATTGAGTAACAACTATGACAAGCTCAGGGGAGTAGTACCCTGGAAACACAGCCCAGCAGTGGCATTAGGGGCTTTTGTCTCACACTTCTTAAAGGGAATCAGAGAGGGAGGCATTGAGACTTTAGAGATGCTTACCTGGTTTTGGACTTTGATTTGTCATTGGCATATGGAAAACAGAGTATTTCTACTCATGCCAAGAGTTTTGTGCACTTTTTTGAAGTTGGAGATTAATCAGAAGAGTTTAGGATTCCCAGCAAAGACAATTGTTTATTTCAGATGTCATGCAGACCTTTATATATATGCTATCTTTGTAGCTTAAGCCCATACTATATGAATTTTCCTTTCATAAATTATGTGGCTAAAGATTGAAAATGCTGTTAAATTTAAGATTCAATCAACACTAGCTCCTAGCAGTCATTGAGTAACTCAGTTTCCCAGTAGTAGGAGGCAATGTATGGTTGATTTATAACAGTTAAACAGAAGCTTTGCATAGGGAAATAAATTCATTCAGATAACAACGTATCATATAGTTTGATGGCTCAATATACATTTTTTCCTACATTGATTCACTCTTCTGTGAAGGAGGTGCAGCCTTGGTGCATAATATCTCAGTGCTGTGTGTGTGTTGCAGCTGACTGCCCTAAATCTTAAGTGCAAATTTGTTTAGACTCAGTTCTTATTCTTGACTCCATTGTTTTTGGGGAGGAAAAAACAACACTTATTTTACCTTTTAATTTTATTTTATTTTACAGTGATGTTAAATTAATTCTGAGGAAAATGTACACAGTGTTCTAGTAGCTGGAAAACATATATAGCAGGATGTTTTAAAGCAGTTTTGTCTATGTATTCCTGTCTGTAACAGTAATAGATGTAGATTTCTCCTTTTACATGTTGCTGACTTTTCCAAGTGCCTTGATTAATTTTGCCAGCATGTAGTCCCATGTACTTTATTTTTATACTTTTAAAAGTTTGAAAGAAAATAGAATATGAAGTTTTGAATGCTCATGTTAAAATGATTTCTAGGACGCAAAAATGAAGAGGAAGTTGAACTCCAAAATTACAGCATCTTGAATTTCTTTATGGGACACCAAATATTTTCCTGGAAGAAATAATCAGCTTGATGCACATGTTTATTTCTAGTTAGAAAAGGTCTTGTTTTACCAAGAAACTGTACTTTGAGATCAAATTAACTTACTCGGAGGATGTTATTTCCCTCAAAAGTCATGCTGAGTTTAAGAACTCCTCACAAAAGTGTTTAATAAAGTGGTACTGTACCTAGAGCATTAACTTCAGTCATCACAAGTTACTTTGTTTTAATCACACAGACTTCTAAGAGAGAGGTGAGAAGAAAAACCAGTTTGTCTGAGACAATTCCAAATGCTCTAAACTACCAGGAGACGTAATTGCTTTATGGGGGCCAGGCATGTGGAGAGAGCATGTATTTTTATCAGATAAAGCTGGGAGAAACAAAGTTCTTGTAACCCACTGATTGAAGCCTCCTGTGAACGTAATGGTCCCTAAGAAGGAAAGTGCAGGGAAAAAGACAGTAGGGGAGGAGTAAGAGAAGCAAGAGGAAACTGGGGAAGACACGGTAGCTGAAGTGATATGATAATATGGGGCAGTTTTCCTGCAGTGTGGAGCAGGTAGCTTAACCCCCATCCTCAGTAAATGATACCATTATTAAATTGAGCAACTGTTTTAACTTCGGCAAGAAAAACAACCTACTTTTTCATTTGTGTTTGACTTGAGAAACAGTCCTTGGACTTTGGTTAACCTCTAAACTCAAAAGTTCATTTCTAACATACAATCTGTCAGAACAAACCTTTGACATAGATTTTTAAGACATTTTGTCTGTGTGCTATTATGCTTAACACTTTTACAGCCTTGTAATAAACTTTTCAGATGTGACGGAAGCACAGCCTTTACATATATGAATATATGTCCACAGCTGAAGAAATGTGCAGGCTTCTAATTCCAGTTTAGTCCCAGTAGTCTTTTAATATAGTTTATATTGTAGAGTCACTGTCAAATATTTTCATTTTTATGGTCTGAAGGCTGTGTTGAATGAAGCTTTCTGAAACTGGCCTTTCAGAGAATCTGACATCCCGTGGTCTGGTGGACCGGTTCTTTTTTATGGAATTTTGAATGGTATCTGATGTGAAGTAATAGACAATGGGGTCAAAACAGCAGTTTGAGACAGCGATGCACAGAGTTATGGGGTACATAGTCCTGACTGCAGTCACCACTGAGCAATTGACCCAGGTCTGTGTTCTCATAAGGGAGTAAAGTATTAAGGTAATGTTGTAAGGCACAAAGCAGAAGCAGAATATCACCAAGTGGACAAAAATCATTTTGAGTACCTTTTTCTTGCTTACTTTATTCCGGCTTAATGTAAGCGGTTTATTCAAGGTCCGTAGGACCATGGTGGAGCAGGTCACGTTCAGGATGAGCGGGATAAAAAACCCAACGGTTTCAATGAAGATAACAATCCGGGATAGGTAGGTTTTCCACGTGTCCTCTGAAAAGTTTTCAAAGCACGTCCTTTGTTCCGTATTGTTCCTGCGGTTTGTGGACTGGAAAAAGCTTGCTGGTGTGCTGCCTGCTAGCACAGTTATCCATACTGCAACACAGACAATCTTTGCATTCCGTTTGGTCCGGAGAGTCTTGGATCGGAAGGGGTGTACTATAGCTAAAAAGCGATCCACGCTGATGCAAGTCAGAAACAAAATGCTCCCGTACATATTTGTGTAAAAGAGGGTGACAGAAATCTTGCAGAGAATGTCTCCAAATGGCCAGTTTCTGGTTACAAAGTAATAAATCCTGAAGGGTAATGTAAACACGAAAAGCAGATCTGATATGGCTAAATTAAGCATGTAAGTGGTAGTCTCGTTTCGCACTTTCAAAGTACAAGTGAAAATGTAGATCGCTACACAGTTCGCTATGAGGCCGAGAACAAACACCATGCTAAAGATACACCCGTACAAAGTATACTTAAAGGAGTCCTCAGTGGAACAATTGGAGCTTACCATTATAATGGTATGTTAAAAATTCCCGTGATTTGGCGTCTTCTCTGGTATTTTTATTGCAACTTTTTTGAAATTCCAGAAGAATTGGCAGGTCAGATGTATTTGAATGGTGTGCTTTGGCAAGTTTGTTATGCTGGGAAGCTTCAGGGAAGGAAGGTGAGCTCTGTGGCAGGGGAGTACATCTCCAGCAGAAATCACCAGGAAGTCTCTCTTCTCTGCCGAGTGCTATTTGTAATCACGTAGCCAGTCTGCAAAAGTCAGAAAATGCATCATTTGTGGCAGATGAGGTCACCCCAAAGCTTGCTTAGTTGCATTTCCCACCTCGATTCCATGAAGCCATTGTAGGTTCTGTAAGGTTCTGCCTTACTCTTGGCTGCAGATTGAGCCAGCAAAGCTTTGTCCATCCGAATGTACTGGGAGAGTGTGCTTTAGGAAACGATTTCCTGGACGCTGCGAAGTGTCGGCACTTGCATTTCCCCCTCTCCCTTCTTTCTATGCAACAAGTTTGTCGGCTGGCTGGCCGGCCCCATGGGGCGGGAGGCAGAAGCAGAAGGCAGCTGCCTGCCAGGGCAGAAACCGAATTCCAGAGCGTGTTTGTTCCTGCAGCCCGCAGCCCTCGGCAGCTCTTGCCAGCCCAGCTCCTTCTGGAGAGCAGAGCAGAGCGCCCGGGCAATTTGTAGCATGACATCACAGGAAGAAGAGGCTGGGCACGGAAGAATGGTTTCAGTTTGGTTTGTTTGCCTTCCCCTGTCTCTGCTGTACCTTGCAGATGTAGCTTGTAGAGTGCTGCAGCTGCTTCTTAACTCTTTCCATGCTCCCTGAGAGGTCCTTTGTCAGTGTTGCTGGGGTCTGAAAACCTTTCTCTTTAGTTATGATGAGACTTTACAGTCTAACATCTAAACTCTCATGCCCTTAAGTTCCTATTTTTGTTTGGCAATAGCAGTAATTGTGGGATTTTATATAGGATTGAACTGACATTGTGCCTTTTGTTAATAGCTTTGCTTTTAACAGAGAGCACATTAATCACCAGAAATCAGCTGAGTGGTTCTAAATTCCCCCAATACACCAGTACAATCCTCAAGAGGGACAAAGTAACATTGATAGGTAATTAAATAATTGCACTAAATAATTACTGAAAAAGAGAGGGTTGCTCTTGGAGATTCACAGGACTGAGATGTGTTGCAGTGGGAGGAGAGAATTTTTAAAAACTTGTTCCATATTCAAAGGCACACCCCAAGCTTTATTTCTAATCAAAAAGGTGGTTCTTTAAAAAAAAAAAAAATTTACTCCAGTGGTTTTGTGAAATGTTGTGATACAGAAAGCATTTTCTTGAACACAGAATTAATATAGCAAAATACATATAGTGTACTGTGCAATTGGTTCTGGTAATTTCAAGGGCGACAGTTACCACATATGCACAAAATACTCCCATTAGTCACTAATAATTGAAACAAAAACATGTTGTAACTAATTGCATTGTTAAGTAAATATTAAAAAAAAGCAGCCCTTACTGCCTTTAGGGGCAGATATGAGATAAATCTCAGTTTAGACAGACTCATTTATTAAACAACAACTTGGGTAGACTCACTTCTGGCATCAAACCCAGTCTATTTCTATGTCTTAGAATAACAAAGCTCTTCATATCTGGCTGGGTGGCATGGTTCTTTTGAACTGTATTTTAATCAGTTGCACCTAAGCAAGGCTCTGGGCAAAACCTTTCTAGTCTGCTGTGAAGGAGAGTAAATAATAGCGCTTCACAGGATTTTGGCACAGTTTCTTAGCATAAGGTATGTCAGATGAAATTCAGAAACATGCAAAAGTGGGTCTTGCTTATTTTATTTCAAGTTTTCTTTTTAGTATTCTGTGAAACTTTCACCTTGATTTTGAGGTGAAATCAAGGAGTTTAACTTCAATAGGCTATAACCACAAGAAACCTTTCTGACTATTGAAATCCACGCTTAAATGTAAAGCACAGTGCATCCTGGACATCTAAGTCAGTCGGAAATGAAAATGTGAGCTTGGCAGAGTCTCTCATGTCCAACTTAACATGTACTTTAGCATAAAGGTTTTCCTGGCTTTTCTCACAGAAGCAGTCATCACATCCTAAATTTTGTTTCTGTTCCTGGCAACCTTGCATGGTAAAAGAAGGGTTTTCCTGCAAATGTTCTGCTTCAGGTCACAGGACCTCTGCTCAGTTTTACTGCTCCAACTTTGTTTGCACATGAAGGCTCTGTGGGGCAGGCTCAGTTACTGGAATGAAAATCCCCGCAGCACAGAAATTTGGTGTCACAGGTCAAAGCCTCGAGCAATAATTCATGTTTAGGGAGAGAAACTAATGGCAATGAGTGTGCATCTCACTGATTAGAACTTGATTTGGCATTTTGACAAAGGTGTGGGTGCACAGAAGCAGGGTGGGATGTCTGGTCTGTTTTACCACTGTAAATGTGCTTTAAAGCAGCTGTGAAGGTGCATCCTCAGCCTTTGCTCTGTCAGAGCTCCTGCCTTGCTGTGGCTCCTTGTTGTTGCTCCTGTTACAAGCATGGATAGTACTCAGAGCCTATTTTAGGGCTTTAAGTGTATGGTTATGTTGTCATTAGGGCTCTGTTGCCCCTAAACCCTTCTAGTGCAGTACAGTTCATGCACTTTGCACTAATTGATGACCTAAGTGATATTTGTGTATGTCCAGAAACAGCATTCAGCTGCAGGGTTTCTCCACCTGCAGATGACAACGTGAAACCCCTGAATTGACAGGTTTTTCCTTCCCTTCTTGTTTCAGCAAGGAGAGTTACCACTGAGCAGGTAGGCTGAGTCGTCTTAGTGTAAAAGTGTGAATGGCAAAGGCAAATTGTATATCCACTTGCTTAATTTAGATGTAGCTGATTATTACCAAGCAGTGTTTTAATTTGTGAGCTTATCCAAGCTGAAGAACCTGTGTTGGTGTGCTGGGAACAGCTGGGAATCAGGACTGGCTTCCCTTCTGGCCAGGCTCCAGCATGAGCAAGGGGGAAGTCTCATTTTGCTTTCTTCTTTTGTTGGATCATGTTTGAAGATGTTGGGCTTTGTGCTGACAGGTTCAGAAAAGATTTCAGTAGCCCCCAACCCCTTAAATTTTAAGAAATTTAACAGTTGTGGAAGAAGAATTGACAGGGTAATGGCCTTGCTTATACTCCTTCACCACAGGCTGTTTTCCTTTAGGATGGGAAGGAGGGGGTAGGCAGGAGGAAGCAGCTGCAGGGCGGGCCTTGTACACTGAGGGGTTTTTTGTCTCCAAAGGAAACAATGCTATTGCTGCAGGGAAATGCATATGTGAATCTGTCTGCCTTTCTGCATCAGGGATGGGAATGAGTTAGGACCTGTCATTTGTTGCTAGTGCTATATGAGTAAAGCCTGCATTTCCATCAACAGGCTTCCTGTGGCTCTTGAAAAGGCACCAAAGGCAGAGTAAGAATGGGCTCCTTAAAGCCAGGAGCTGATGAGATGTTTGAAATCATCTCTCACTTCAGTAGCCAGCAAGCTTTTTGCATTGCTTCAGGCAGTTACCACATAACTCCGCTTTTCTGAGTTTAGATACCTATTTAAGCAATTTTGGATTTGTGTGGCAAGCCTGCTCCACCACAGGGTTTTAGAAGGAAAAGTGCTTATAACCTTGGAAGTGTCCTAGGAGAGTGGCTGTAGGACACTGTTCCTTCCTCCCAAGATGCCACAGTGTTGATTACTTGCTGTTATTTAGGACACAGAGGGCAGGATCCCTTAAATTCAGAAGTCGAGTGGCAAAAACCATTTCACTGAAATAAAACAAATAAATACTTGTTTTATAAACCAAATACTTGCTTGGAAGGCTTTCCAAGCTTTTGGAGTTGTGCTGACCAGTGTTGTATGTTCCTCTGGTGATACCCTCACCTTCAGAGCTGGAATTAAACCAAAGTTATCGTCAAAGGTGAAATGCATTTGAAATGGTCTGCATTCAGTCTGTGCCAATGCTAATACTGAAAGTTTTTTAGAGGTGGGAAAAAGCAACTTCAACATCAATAGCATTGTAATAAATTCTACAATATTTCCAAGCCAGAGTATGCACTGCTAAGTGAGGGTTGTCAGGTGCACAAAGTGGTCTGTGTAAGACCATTATTCAGTAGCTACTGTTACTGCTTTTAGGGGCACACCTGTGTCATGGTACAGGCATTTGTTCTCACTTGGGTTAAGCAGTCTTATGCAGAAGAACTTGTGCTGTCTGGTGCAGGGAAGACAAGCCCTGGCACGATAACATTTTCTTTGACCTAAGTCTTGTTATTTATCTAGTTATTTTAATGGATTTTAGCTTTTTTTTGGTCTATTTACTGGAGTTTCTCTTTGAACATTTGTATGTGCTGGAAGGAATTTGTTATGGTTGAGAAGCAGGGCTGAGAGCCAGGAAATCTTTTTGGCTGTGCCACAGATTTTCTGTTCCAGTCCTGGCAAAGTTTTCTATGACTTGGTCCTCAAGCTTCCCTCCCCATAAGAGCTCATTCAGTTCCACACTGGTATGTGAGACTGTCTTGATTGCTACAGTTTGAAGCCCTTGGCTGGAGAACTCTCTGTTAAATATCATCTTGAGATAACTACAGTGGCTACTGAATGTGACAAAAATATAGACATTAAAAGTTTGTATTTTTAGATTAATTTCCAGCCAAGCAAAAGGATCCATTAAGAGACTTCATTTGTTTCACCTCCATAAGTCTCTGGAAAAATAGGTATAGAGGAAGCAGGACTGAGTATTTTGACCTTCTCAGCTGTCTTTTGGGGCTGCCTGCTCAGCCACTCTGAAGTCACTCTGCTTCTTAGAAGTGGCTCACTGCCATCTTAAAATGCAGTGGTGGTCTCCACCTATGCAGATAGAATGAAGCTATTATGGCACTGAAAATTTCCCTTTTTTGTGTTGGTGGCAAGCAGGTCTTCAAATGAGCATTAGAAAACTTAGGATGAACAGAGTATTTTTATCTAGCCAGCCTAATCCCTTCCAGCTGTTGCAGTGGCAGTTAAAGGCTCCTCCATGTCAGGAAACCTGTTAGTTTAACGCATATGTAATCACAAATTACAAGTAAAAGTTGATTGTGTAATTACTTAAAAAGGGAAAAGGAAGATCAGAATAAAATTCCAGACTTCTTTCTTCTCACACATTTGAAATGCTTCTCTTCCCTCTTTGAAATTGTTTCAGTTTCCTTTACAAGAGACACAAATGCTCCTCTCCTGCTTGTAGATAGAGGAAACAATTTCTCTCCTTCTGTATGAGTTTTTAGGCTGCTAGAGTACTTTCTTTTCCCCCTCTGCTCTTGCGTAGATGGTGTAAGTCTAGTTCATCTCATGGTAGGTCAGTAGAGGTTAGATAACATGAAATCTTTTTGAGATTTTATCTAGGGATTGATTGGTTTAAAAGGAATGGACTAGACAGCGAAGGAAGGGATCATAGAGATTAAAAGCTTGAAAAGTGGATGTTGACCTTCTTCAGAGGGAAGGAAAATGGAAAAAATACTGTAAACAATCTTTACAGCATGATTTTCAGTGGATAGGAATAGAATGAAAGGAATCTCTGAAATGTCAGGTAGGAAGAGAAATGCCTTAACTAGAACAAAATACCTGAGTTCCTAAACTTTCATTTGCATTTTTTTCTAACTTAAAAAAATGGTTTTTCAGTTACTCT